AGTAAAAGTACAATATGTACCTCTGAGATGTAGTAGAGTAAAAGTACAATATGTACCTCTGAGATGTAGTAGAGTAAAAGTACAATATGTACCTCTGAGATGTAGTACAGTAAAAGTACAATATGTACCTCTGAGATATAGTACAGTAAAAGTACAATATGTACCTCTGAGAAAAGTTTTTTATTTCTTTCTTTTCTCTGTTATATTTGTTTTATTGTATTGTTTTAGGTTGATTTGTCTGACTGGTTTTCATAAAAAGGTTTTATATAAACTGTAATACAATAAAACATATATTTGAGAGTTTTAACTGATAAAAGAAACATGAAACCATCAGCTTGTTTTCAGACACCAGGAGTCTCCGATCTTTTCTGCATGTTCCAACTAAAGTAGGTCAAACTTCTGAGTATTATTACACGTTAGGCTCCCTGGGTTACTGGGAACTAAAGGACTAAAGGACTAAACGTGACAATAGAAAATAATCCTGAATCTTGTTAATCTGCTGCAGATTTTTAATGAAATTTGTAAAACCAAAATAAAGAATAAAGACTGACTGAGCTCTGAAGATCCTCTCAAACTCCGGCGGTCCGGCGGTGGCAGGCGGAGACACCGAATACTTCCTCCTGGCGTAGATAACCTGCAGGGACAAATAGGCTGCACACACACACACACACACAAAACACACAATCTCTCACACACACACACACACACACACACACACACACAAAACACACAATCTCTCACACACACACACACACACAAATATATATATAAATAATAATGTTTTTCTGTATGAGATGTTGCTGAATAACTACAAAGGAAACACATCAAACTCTTCATACAGCAGCTGTCTGCAGAGATCAAAGATCAACTTGTTTGTAGTAAATGCAAATATGATTCATAAAAAAAGGCAGAGGGGCTGATTACATAACATAAAGAATATTAAAATAAATATAAATCAAGAGGAATAAAAGATAGAATATAGTTTAAGCAGTCTTATATAAGTATTATATGAGTATTATATAAACGCCTTTTTAAAATATACAACCAGACTCCAGTCATTTTTCTTCAAATTAAAGCAGTTCCCTCGGTCTCATATTTCCCAGCATGCACTCTCACCTTGCTGCAGGACACCGAGCACGGTCACAGCGGCGAGGCCGACCACCGCCTCCTCCGACATCTCTGCAGCGAGACGGGGAGTCAGAGCGACAGGTGAGAAGGAAACGCACACTTGAACACTGAAACACTGTCTGACAGACAGACACGCAACACAGAGACAGGTAATACTGAGAGAGAGCACACCTGCAAGGAGGCGGGGCAAAGACGGACAGTTTAAACAGTTAACCACGTTAATGAGTGACCTGCTGTCAGTTTAAACAGTTAACCA